AGAGCAGAGTTTAGGGCTGTTGTGCATAGGGTCGCTATGAGTCGCAAGCGACTCGACGGCACATAACAACAACAACAACAACTGCAACATAGGGCAAAACAAGGCAGGCTGGCAACTATTTGTGCTCTGATCCATGTGAAATGGACTCGGCGCACCCAGTCAGAAGTTGCCCACTCGAACTCCAGATTCCTGCCGAGATCCCGCCTCCAGAAATTAGCTCCGCCCACTCTTACGTAGATTTTCCACGCCGCGTTCGGCTGATCCAGCCAATCGGAATGTGGAGGACCTGCTTGGCGCTGACAAACTCCGCACCGTGACGTTAACGCGCGGGGACGGTGATGGTGCTGGGTGTCGGTGGCGCCCGGCGCCTTGGGCGCTTGGGGATGCTGTTGTGCGATGCTGCCACCCACGGATTAAAACCCACTCCGGGCTCAAGAACCTTGCTTCCCCTGGTGGCTATGCAGCGGCCTTCCTCGGTCTCAACACTGGGCTTGGCCTACCTGTGCCCTCGCCCCGCGCGCTGCTTGCACGGCGAGACACGACCGGAGGAGCGGGCGCAGGGTCTAGCGGACCAGGGGCGCCCTGAGTCGAGCGCATCAGGTAGGAGTGTGGATCCTCCCTCCGGATGGCCAAGAAACAAGTTTTGGCCAAAGGAGCTCTCGGTTTTCCTTTTTATGTACATGGAGACACGAAACTCTTGGAGACATGAAAACTCTTAATAGTTTACAATAATATTCCTGTTTCACGGTGGTAGTGTTAGGTGACTCACAGCGAGCCTATGGACTGCACATCTGATCTTTACCCTGTCCTGTGCCATCTTCACAATCTCTGACACACTCAAGCCCATTGCTTTAGTCACTGTGTCAATCCACCTGGTTGAGAGTCTTTCACCTTCCCAAACATGATGACCCTCTCCCAGAAATAGCCTCTCCTAGCAACATGACAGCACCTTCTCCGAGACATACCTGTTTATTCTTTTGGCAGTCCATGAATATTCAGTACTCATTTCCAACACCACAGCTCAGAGGCTTCTCTATCATCCTTATTTATTGTACAGCACTCAGCAGCACAGCAAGTGATTGAAAGGACTCTGGCCTGAATCAGGTGCACCTTTTTCTTCAAACTGACATCATTGCTCTTCAATAATTTAGAAAGACACCCTGACTGCAGACTTTGCTAGTGCAATGTCTTCTGATGGCTAGTACCAAGGGTGTTGACTATGTAGATCCAAGTAATATGAAATTGTTGACAGTTTAAATCTTTTTTCCATCTAACATGATATTTTCTATGGGTCCAGTGGTGAGATTTTTTTCCTCTCTTGACATTGAGATGCAATCCATATTGAAGGCTGCATTTTGTGATCTTGCACAGCAAGTGCTTCAAGTCTTCTTCACTTTGAGCAAGCAAGGTTGTGTCATGTGCATACAAAGGTTACTGAGGCGTCTTCCTCCAAGCCTGATTCCACATTTTTATTCATAGAGTCCAACTTCTTGAATAATTTGCTTAGCATACATATTTCACAGAGAAGCAGCTGCAAAAACAAGAGATGACCTCTCCAAAGCATTGAGCATCTGGACAGCTTCACTGTAGCTTGGCACCCCAACCTCGCTGTTCAGACCTCCTTCCACACTCTTCCTTGGCTTCTGGAGAATGGACTTGCCCATGCATGAGGGAATTTGAGGATTGTGAGAAAGTGTCAGGGGTTAAGAGTTAAGGAGTGTGAAGAAGCCCTAATAGGAGAATGGGGCGGTTTAAGATTCTTTTTTTTTTTTTTTTTTTTAGGGTTTAAGATTCTTAGAGGTGAAGGTCGAAGGTCGTGAGACTTTGTCTCATATTTTTTGGGCATGTTATCATGGAGGCACCTGTCTTGGATAAAGACATCTTTTTTCCTAGGCAAAAAGCTGACCTTTTCCTTTCATTTTCACCCTAATAATCACTTTGATCTTCATAGGTGTGAGATCATAGTTTTTGTCACTGACTTTTCTGGTTCATCCATGTTGTGGCATGGATCAGGACTACTCATTTTTATACCTGAATAATACTTTATTGTGTATAATTTCACATTTTACTTATCCATTCTTGTGTTGGATGTTCTGGTTGCTTACACCTTTTGGCTATTACCAATACTGTTAAGTAATATAGTGAATATTGGTGTGTTTTTCTTTGTATATCTGCTTTTACATCTTCTAGGGCCATACCTAGGTCTAGAATTACAGGTTCTGTGTTCAGGTTGTTGACAAACTGCCAAAATATGTCCCCCAGTGCCTGTATCATTTTACATTCCCACCAGCAGTGAAAGAGGGTATTAGTTTCTCCATGACCCGTTATGTCTGGAGGGTTTTTTTTGTATATTTATTTTGTATTTTAAATAATTATTCTGTTAGGGAAGGTGTAAGGAAATAATCTATCATTATTGTTTTGATTTGTACATCCCTAATGCTCTGTCTCCCAGTTTTCCTGACTGCTGGAACCAAGGTTATTGACTGGATCCAAGCAAGGTGAAATCGCTGACAATTTCAGTTCTTTTTCCATCTATCATGATGTGGCTCAGTAGTGACAATTTTTCTTTTGATGTTGAGATATAATCCATATTAAAAGCTTAGTCCTTGATCCTTGACAGCAGATGCGTCAGGTCCTCCTTACTTTCATCGAAGTTCTGTCATATGCATAATGCACTTCATAAAGTTCAGCATCTTGAACGATTTGTTCACCAATACAGTGTATAGGATACAGCCCTGACACACACCTTTCCTGATTTTAAAGTATGCAGTGTTCCTTTGCTCTGCTTGGACAACAGCTTCTTGGTGTAGATGTAGATTTCATGTTAGCATAATTAAGTGTTCTGGAATTCCCATTCTTCTCACGGTTAGCCACAGAAGTACCAATACAAAGCTGTTTTAATTATCATGGTTTACTTTGAAAGCAGAACATTTGAGTCCTCTTACTTTTCCCCAAGTTATGTTTTCTCCTGCCTATTCAAGGCTCATTGCTTTTCCCTATGAATTTGAGGCAAATGGCTTTTTAAAAGAAGTGATGGGCTAAAATAAAAATTACTGTTTCTCTCACATGAAGGGAGCAAACTCCTAAGAGCTGCTCACAGGTGTCACCTGGGCCCCTCTATATTTGAGATACACCTTCATATACCCCAGAATATAACATTCTCACCAACTTGTGCTATTATTTCCTCTTTATAGCATGTTGACTTGAGGCTTATTGCTTATTTCTGCAGATTCCACTGAACAGAAAGTCAACTTTAAATGTGACTAATAGATGTAATAGCAGTGGATGTACAGTGGCTCTGAATAACCAGAGCACTACTCCTGAAATGTGATCACTGCTATATGAAAACACTGTTCTGCTTCCTGGAGTCCTTCACGGTGGTTTGGGTCTAAACACCTTCCAGGACTAACTACCTACGGGTCATTCGCCAGGTTGCTTTTGAGTTGATTCTGACTCATGCTAGCCCCTCATGTGTCATGGCAGAACTACACCGCATAGTTTTCATGGACTGATTTTTCCGTGGTAGATTGCTAGGCCTTTCTTCCAAGGTGTTTAGAATCCAACCATTTGATCAGCAGCTGATCAGGGTTAGCCCTTTCTACCCCCTAGGGACTTCTCTGAGAACTTGGTGTTCTTAGTGTGACTTGGCCATTGACAAGCAAATCTTTGTGCATTTCAGATCATACTGGTCCCAAGTTTGACATCGATGTATTGGTTTCACTTCTGCGGCAAGAAAATGCAAAAGACATTTGTGTAATCCAGGTTCCCCCCGAGATGAAATACACAGAATACTTCGTGATTGTGAGTGGAACCTCTACCAGACACTTAAATGCCATGGCCATCTATATTGTGAAAATGGTAGGATGCCTGTTTTTCTCTTTGGGGACATTAGCTGAGAGGGAGGGGTGGTGTCAGTACATCAGGCTGAGAAGCCACAGTCAGAAAGTAGGCCTTGAGGTTGCACAAGAGGCCCACCATTTCAAAATTGGTATATGAGGGTGTTTCACATTTGATAATAAAAGGCATGGGGTTAATATCTAGTCCAACTACATTGTGACAAGAGGGGAAAAAAAATATAGTAACCTGAAGCAAGCTAGAAGACCACAGACCTAGAGATTTTGAGGTTCAGTGCCCAAATAGGAAGTAGCCAGGTGGAGTTATTTAAATGTTAAAATTGTTACTTAGTTGTATGAACCACATTTCAGTTGCTCCACATATGGCTGATTATCCATATTGGACAAAATATTTCTAAAACATTTCCATTATTGAAAAAGTTCCATTACACAGTGGTAGCTGAGGTTTAATTCACATATTTGAGCACTGTGCTGGGTATCCTGAAGGGAAAGATGGGAGACCTACTCCTTCAAGTTCTAGTTTAAGAAAAGTCCATTTTTCTTTTGGACTCAATACAAATCAGAATGAGGAAGAAACTGTACATTGGAATCCACCATTTGATTGTGATCCCATTCTTCAGGGGAACAGACCTCAATCCTGTTGAGAATTAGTCAGAGGGCAGTCCAGACAGAATAGCTCTGAATGCTTGGGGGACAGAGTCCTGGCACATGGCATGACAGAACAGATGAAGATTCCCAAATGGGGTAAAGGACCAGGATGGAACGAGGAGAGAATAGAGAAGGGTTAAAAGTTCCAGGGATGGAGTAAGGGGAAGACTTACTAACTACTGGACTTGGGATATAAAAGTGGGAGATTATTTTGTATTTGTTTCTACAGAAAAGAGAAGGGCAAGAAAAATCACTTTAAAAAAAAAATTTTATTATCTGTGTGTGTACCATCAAATCAGATCTGATTGGTACAGGAGGAGATTGTTCCTCCTTCTCCAGCAGAGCACCTGGTGGATTTGAACTGCGCACCACTGATATTGCAGTGCAGCTTCTTGCCATTAGGCCACTGGAGCTTGCAGAAAAATCTTTTTTTTTAAAATTTTTTTTTTATTGGGGAAAACATATTGGGGGCACAAGGAGGTGAGGGTTGGGGGCAGAAGGGTGAGGATGGGCCAGGATGCAGTTGCAGAGCTGCACAGTTTGGTCGGTGGGGGGAGCAGGTGAAGGAAATGATGAGGGTCCAGTGGGGACCAGATGCTACAGAGGAATGACAAGCATTTTCCAACAGTAATTAAACCAACTGTCTTATTGATTTGGGAATTGGATGCCGACTCTCTGGCTTCTTCATGCTGAACAGGGGTATAGATATAAAGGGGGGAAGGGAGGACGTTTTATCACCTTACTGGTGGTCTGGGGTTACAGCTGCTTGCCTTCTTGCTCCTGAGGGCCGCGACAGTTCGCCCCGAGCCGGGGGCCAAGCGCAGCCCACCCCAGGCAGGCCACGACGGCTCGCCCCGGGCAGGGGGCCGAGGAGAGCCTGCCCCGGGCAGAGGGCCACGACGGCTCACCCCAGGCAGAGGGCCGAGGGCAGCCCACCCCGGGCAGAGGGCCGCGATGGCTGAAGTAGTCTTTTTTTAAAAAAGAAGAAAAAGTGTGTGTGTGTGTGTGTGTGTGTACCATCAAATTGGATCTGACTGGTACAGGAGACTGCCCCTCCTTCTCCAGCAGAGCATGAAGTAGAGTCTGGGTCTTTTTACCCCCCCAGGTGCCTGTCGGGGCCTGGGTTTCAGCTGTCCACAACACAGCAGTGGGCAACAAGCTTAAAGCCCCTGATGGCTCTGGGTGCTCTCACCAGTGAGAAAAATCACTTTTATAAAACTCAGATATGAAGTTCAGGGTAAAGCAATCTCTGTGAGTACACTATTTGCAAACTGCATACGACCCACCCAGAAAACTATCGTCAGGCTGTCACTAAAGAGTCACACCACCTTTAATAATGACTTGGCTTTTTCAGTACAAATACTTGAAGTGTAAAAGTGATCCTCATGTTAAGATAGAAGGGAAGGACACGGACGACTGGCTTTGCATCGACTTTGGTAAGTTATTTTGGCATGTTTTACAGATAAACATTTAGTACTGTATTCATTTTTCATTTTGGTGTAAAAAGCTTAATATCAAATTGTAGCATATTTTTTCATATAAAATTTCAGTTGTAACACAGGTGGTCACAGTCACATATGAAACCCTTTATCTGACCAAAATCTGCTAGATCATGTATTTTTGCACTAAGATGTGTACTAGCAGGTATCTAGGTATAAAATCAAATGAGTTTGGAGGATGGTGGAAAATAGGATGGGTAACATGGTAGAGGGAAGAGAGCACGACTGGAGGGCCCGGGGGCTAACCTGGCCCTTAAATGGCAGAACTGAGATTGAAGGGCATTCTAGAAATCATAAATGCAGGTATCTGGAATTTTGTAAACGAAGAGTCTGGGTATTAATTAACAGATTGTTTTAAAATATTTCCTTATAAAATATTCACTATACGGGAAAAATTATAATTATCAGCACCTATGAGGAGTCTGAGATTTTACTCCACTTACTAACAAATTGCCTGTTTCACATAAAAGAAAAAAAAAATCACACCTGGGTTCTGGAGGACAGTGTTACTCTTGGCAGTAGCAACACCATATATTTTCACCACTTCCTCAAGCAACAGCGTTTACTATTAACAGGAACCCTGAGATCAGGGCGCCAGAGTCTTTTCTAATGGGCAGCAGCTGATATTTGGGCTGGATAATTTTGTTGTTGCTGCTGTAAGCAGTTTGGTGCACTGTGGATGTGTCTCTGTGTGTGTGTGTGTGTGTGCACTTTAAAATTTTAACTCTTAAAAAAAAAAATTTAACTCTTACCTCTCCTGATAGGCAACATGGTGATTCATTTGATGCTTCCTGAAACCAGAGACGTCTATGAATTAGAGAAATTATGGACTCTGTGTTCTTATGATGACCAGTTAGCTCAGATAGCACCGGAGACGTTACCTGAAGACTTCATTCTTGGAAGAGAAGATGACACTTCATCGCTGACTCCAGTGGAGTTCAAGTGTGAATAAAGTTCTATGAACTGCTTTAGTTATTTCAGATTTGGATTGAGTTGCTTCTCTTAAATTATTGCTCCTTACCAAATAGGCCACAAGAGCTACTTACTTGGTTTACTATTGTTACATGCCCTTGAGTTGAATATGACTCAGTGTATACATCCATCTCATTGGGGATCTTCCTCTTTGCTGTCTCCTCGCCTTCTCTAACTACTTGCCAAAAGCTGCAAGACACGAAGCAAGATTTATCTTGCTTCATTTTTGGCAGTACATGGGATATTCTGCATTCTTCTCCAGCACAACTCAACAGCATAGCTGCTTCTATCATCCTTATTCACTGACCAGCTCTCAGATGCATTAACAAATAATTAAAAAGCACCACAGCCTGAATAGTAGTTAACACAAGCCATGTTTACCTCAGACACTTGGAGACTGGGGTTAAGTCTCTCTTCCTTGGAATTCTAACAGGATTTTGGGTAATTAGGGTGGGCTCCTTTGCTCCTCTTACAAATGGTAATTTTGCTTACACATAACTCTTATGTGATAGAGTGGAATGACCAAATTAAAAACATCAGATCTGATACAGTTATTTTTCTGAGGTGTTCTCTCACTGCCACTGACCCACAGAGACTCCTAACCGAGCCTCCAGTGTGTTTAATACTGTAAACGTGCATGGGAAGAGACTGCCAGGGGGTTTGAACTTCCAGAGAGGCCTTGGGTTGGCAGCACAATTCTTATAAACTGTACCACCAGAGTTCCCTGAGGTGGTAAAAAGTAGCAGTAACCCTAGGCTTTTTTTTTTTGCGCGAGACTTCTAAATTTCAAGAGTTCTCTACATAACAGATTCAGAGCTTCTGAAGTCTGTTAACACCACCAAAATTTGATATTGGGAAATTGGGTCACAGACAGCTGATACTGATGTTGATATGTGCCCAATGAACTACAGATCATGTACCTGTCCTAACCTGTGGCCATTGATATTTTCTGTTTATTATGTTGTTTGGGAGCTGTGGTGGCTTAGTGGTAAGGAGTTGTTTTTCCAACCCAAAGGCATGTGATTCGAATCTACCAGTCACTCTGGGGAAAAGATGGGTAGTCTCCTCCCATGCAGCTGCCTGCCTTTGAAAACTCACTAGAATCAGCTACTCGACAATACACAATAACCACAACCACAGGAAAGAAGCAAGCCAACATTTGGACAAGTTTCAAGTCTCCTGCATCCTAAAAGTTATCTATTAACAATGTGGGCCGTGTGTGTGGGGGGGCATGACTAGTTTTTTGGGGATAAAACTTTTCTCCCCTACTTAAAACCTCTAATTTTTTGTTTATACCTATAATTTATACCTTTGGATAAAGCCTATAATTTGTTTTCATTTAACAGTGTTACCTAGATTCACATGGAGTTTTATGGAATAGAAAATTAATTACCAAATAGATTATTAGTGCTTATCTGGAAACTGATGAATATTACTAAAGGTGTTTCAGTTTTTGTTTGGGAGATGAAAAGGTGAGAAAAAATGGAGTTGCTTTCATAGTTAAAAAAGTCATTGCTAGATCCATCTTGAAGTACAATATTGTCAGTGACAGGATAATATCTATATGCATACAAGGAAGTCCAGTGAATACCATTATCATTCAAATATATGCACCAACAACCAGAGCCAAGGAAGAGGAGACAGAAGATTTTTACCAGCTTTTACAATTGGAGATTGATCGAACATGCAATCAAGATGCATTGGTAATAATGGGTGACTGGAATGCAAAAGTCGGGAACAAAGAAGATTCAGTAGTTGAAAAACATGGACTTGGTGACAAATGAAGCGGGAGAGAGAATGATCAAATTTTGCACAATCAATGACTTATTCATAGCAAATACATTTCTTAAGAGACATAAATGCAGGTTATATACCTGGATTTCACCTGATGGTATGCATAGGAATCAGATCGATTACATCTGTGGAAAGAACCACTGGAGAAGCTCAATATCAGCTGTGAAAACTAGACCAGGAGCTGATTGTGGAACAGACCACCAGCTACTCATATGCAAATTCAAGCTGAAGCTGAGGAAAATTAAACCAAATCC